CGGTCCATTGCCATGGGCGGGCGCCCGCGCGCGGGCCCGATCCAGGGCGTCGGCGGCATCAAGGGCGCACAGACGCTGGCCTTCAACGACGTGTACGGGTACGCGTCGGCGGGCGCGGCGCAGGCCGAAAACGACGCGCAAAAGGCGGCCCTCGCGCGCTACAGCCAGCTGCCCGTGCTGCGGTCGTCGTCGGCGGCGCTCAACACGCGCGACCAGATTCTGCGCGGCAACGTGCAGGACGGCCTGCCGGCGCAGTTCGTGGTCGAGGAGGCGGACTGCCGGCTGTACTGGACGGCGGCGATGGCGACGGACGTGACGGCGGTGTGGAAGGCGGCGGCGCAGGCGGCGTTCAACGAGGGCGCGTGTGCGGCGGGCTTCATTGCGCAGTCGACGAAGCAGCCGCCATCTTCGACAAAGTCCAAGCGGGCGGCCGCGGCCGAGGCGCTCGAGAAGCGCCGGTGGACGGCAGCGAGCGAGGCCAGTCTGGCACACCGGCAGGCGGTGGCGGCGGTCAAGGCGCAGGGTCTGTTGGGCAGGCGCGGCGCCGCGGCCAAGGACGTGCAGCGGTTCAACGCCAAGTACAACCAGAAGGCGGTGGAGTAGACGGCGCAGCGTTGTGTCTGCGGGGGATATAACAGTAATATTGATTGTTGGTTTCTTACTTGATAATAATAAAATTGCATCTGTGAGAGTGTAAAGTGAACGCCTGCCCGAACCAAAACACCAGCTGTACCATAACGTATATACGTTGCTACAAAATAACAGACGATATTGGGAAAACCCATCCTTCTTCCTTTTTTTAGTGTCCACTTCCGGGTATCGATGGACAGATGTGGTCTCCCGGAAACAGTAGAGAGGACAGTACAATATAAATAGACACAAAGCAATAATCCGTCGCACGAGAAGCCAGTCGTAATCGTCGTTTCCACAATGGTGGATGAAAAGAAAAAAGGGTAGAGCATCCAGCCTCTTAGCGTGTCGGGATAAACTTCTTGGAATCGTCCTCCTGCTGCTGGAAGGTCTCGGGGAAGGCGGCAATGCCGGCCAGGATGCCGCAGATCATAAAGACGAGCGACACAATGGACCAGACGACGCCCCAGCACTGCGAGGAGCCGCCGTAGCGCTGGGCAAAGACGCTGGCGTCGGACTCGTTGACCTTGCGCAGGATGAGGTCGTCGCAAATGTCCCAGACGGAGTAAAGGGACGACATGACGCCGATGAAGAGGACGAGGAAGCGCAGCGGCTCGGCGTGCTTGATGAACCAGAAGGCGACGAGCAGGCCGACGGCGAGCAGCACGGTGCCGATGGTGAGCCAGTCGCGCTTGCCCCACCAGAGCGTCAGCAGGAAGCAGGCGCCGAGCACGAAGCTGGCGACCTTGGAGGCGACAATGTCGAAGCCGCAGAAGATGAGGAGGGCGCCGATGAGCGAGGAGCCCAGGTAGCCGGCGGGCAGGGTGATGGCGGCCTTGCCGCCCTTCATCTGGGTGACGCCGCCCTCGTGGGGGTCGAGCGTGATGGAGACGACGCGGCCGCCGGTCAGGACGGCGGTGATGGCGTGGCCAAACTCGTGGAAGGCGATGACGAGCATCTTGAAGGGCCACAGGATGTACTTGATGTAGGGGATGTTCCACAGCAGCGCGATGGCGACGACGTAGGCGGCGATGACGCCGAGCGTGACCTTTTGGGTGTCGTTGACGGTCAGGCCGCGGGCGGCCAGGGCGCGCGTCGAGTAGGCATGTTGCTGCGGCGCGGTCTCGGCGTACAAGGCCTCGGCAGCACGGCGCGCGAGGACAGGGCCGGCGGCGGCGACAGCGCTGCGGAGAACTGTGCCCGAGTGAGCCGCGACGGAGCGCAGGGCCGGGGAGCCCGCAGTATGCAAGACGGGGGCCATGTTGGAGGCGGAGACGAAGGCTGCTGGGTATGCGATGCAGTGAGGTTAGGTGTGTCGATGGTATGGCGATGATGTATCGTGTGATCGATCGGGGCACTTGTCGTCTTGTGGCAGGCAACGGCCAAAAGTGGTGTGGGCTGAGGGGCGACAGCGGGAGCGGCTGCCAGTTTGGTGGAAGACGGACAGTGACAGCGGTGGTCGGGGCGCTGAAGAAGCAGAAAATGGCAGCAGCGAGCTCTGTGTTGGGGAGGAAAGGTGGCGAGACGTGGCAAGGAGGAAGACGATGAGGACGGAGAAGAGAAAACAAGGCAGGCAAGGGTTAAAAGCAAGGTCGCCGTTGTGAATTCAGAAACAAGAGCGAAGACCACATGCGCATGCGCCCAGCCTGCCCTTTTTTCTCTTTTCCAGTCTCCAAGCCTCGTGTTTCACTGGTCCTCTCCCAGCAGCGAATCGTTTCTGTGGTGGTTGCAGGCTGTTGCAGGCTGTTGCAGTACTGAAATGTGGAGTTACACGCAACGCACTGCTAAAGTACGATCGGCAGGGCAGATGGAGGCCGTTCGGGCGTAGTGGCGGGTGCGGGGCGGCAATTACAGGGAGAGAAAACGCCCACTAGCATATTCTGTATTCTGTACTGCAACGATGTATTATTCTGCGCTGGAATGGCGACGTCAACCTCCATCCGAGAACGCGTCAGGGGCCCTAAAACTGACACGGCATTCTGCTGTCGAAGGACCTGGTCCCTGGCCCTACTGCGACGGCGCCGAACCAAACTGCCAACGTCCGCCTCTGGTGGCTGTCGTCCTCCCCCATTTTCTAATTTTAGCAGCGCCCATTCCGCCGTGTGGAGTGTCCCCTTTGTCGTTCCTCCATTTGTCCCTTGGCTCGCGTGGCTATGCTATGCCCAGCGCCATTCCCTTCTCGGAGCCACAACGAGCTAAAACCACGAACAAAGCAACAAAGCCGGCGCACGCAACGCATCCTCATTAGAGGCACGTCGAGCATGTACATCTGTAACCGGAAAACAATGTCGACGACAGACGTTGAAGAACACGAATGCCAATTCTATGTATAGTCACGTGACACTCGGGAACGGCCAATACGTCGCGAGATCCGCCAGGCGCTACATCACTAATTACATACTTCTATATCCCCGTCCGCATTCTTATAAAGACAGTCCTTGTAACGACACGCCGTTTATGGTGGAAGCCTCTTTATTTCGCTCCTCGTCTGCCTTCTCCCGCTTCAGCCTGCGTTCCTCGCGCTCGCTGAAGCGGTCGCCGAACAGGTCAAAGCGAGGCCGCATCACGATGGTGTATTTCACGAGCTCTTCCATGCAGTCGACAAGGCGGTCGCGGTTCGCGCTGGGCAGCATGCGGCTGCCTTCTGCCTCTGGGGTGAACTGGGTGTACGCCTTGGGCACAGAACTTTGGTTGGGGATCGTAAACATGCGCATCCACCGACCGAGGATGCGGAGCGAATTCACAGCATTGAAGGACTGGGATCCGCCGCTGACCTGCGCAACGGCCAGTGTCCTGCCCTGTGTGGGACGAACCGCTCCAGACGACAGCGGGATCCAGTCAATTTGTTGCTTGAAAAGGCCCGTCTGCGGCAGCACAGTTCACAGTTCACAGTTAGTCGAGCGTGAGACAGACGGCTCGCGAAACGAAACCCAAAAGGGACCAGCTCACCAAGTTGCCGTGCTGCTCGGGACTGACCCAGACGTGGCCATCGCTCCACTTGCTCAGCTCACGCAGCTCCTGCACTTTTGGGTGGCCGTGGTGAATGTCGTCCTTTTGAGGAAGCCCGGCCGGGTTGTACACCCGGACGTCGCAGCCGAGGCGGAATAGGATGCGTGCGGCCTCGTAGGCGAGGAGACGAGAGAAGGATCTACGTATAGGTATAAGAAGGACTGTCCGTCTTTTTATACTGAAAACGGACCGAGAACACGTACCGGCTTCTCAAGCTGCCATAAAGGACGAGGATCCGCAGGCGGTCACGCTTTTTCTCCAGGATCTCCGACGCGACCAGCTTCAGGACCGTGCCCAGCTCCAACTGCGCCACCCAGTCGTCGGCAGCAAACGGCTCGCTAAGAAGAAACGGGCGATAACGGTCACGGGTGGCGGCGTCGTCCTCGTCGACGTCGATGGCGAGAGAATGAAAGGCATTTTTCGGGTCAGCCGTGAGCGCAACCGCAGCCCTGGCGGCGTACGAGTTGTTTAGGTCGCCGTGGCCAACCAGGGCGACAGGGGACTGTGAGCGTTGCATAGCCTTGCCGTGGACCGGGGACGAATGAAACAGGCAGGTCGCGTAAGCACTATGGACGGGAATGTTGCATGGCCTTTGCTGCGTACGCAGTAACAAAAACGACCATGGGGATCGCAGTCCCTTCATCTGGCTTGGCCGGTTCCTCTGGCGCTGTTTGGCTTTTTCGTGAGTCCGGTGTCTGCCAAAGGCTGCAAGGTAGCGGAAACAAACAAATAATAAACCCAAGACCCCCCAAAACAAAAGACTGTTATATATCGATTCATAAGGCTTTAATACGTAAATCTGCAGCTTCTTCGCCGCTAGTGGGTCGCTCAAGTTGGGGGGATGTCATTGCATTCGTATCATTGGCTGCGAGCGGCAAGCCCGCTTGGCACTGATTATGTCATCATCTGCCCCAATATCGTCGCACTGCAACCTTTGCTCTCTCCTGTGTCACTTTATGAACAGCATTTACCTAGGATATGACGGCTACCCTCTCATTCCTTGATGCAGATTGTGTGCACTGAGTCGTCCAACCCCCCAGGCTCTGAGCGTGACTATGCCCCGAAAGGTAAGCCATGCCAACTTGCTTCGTTTACCGCGTCGTTCAAATGTCTCATCATGGACGACATAGAACGTCACCCCTACGGTCAAGATCCATATCCGCGACAACCAGCGGCGATGTCGCGCTCGCCAGAAGGAACTCGTGCAGGATTTGCAGCGGCGGTTGCAAGATTACGAACGGCGTGGTGTGCAGGCAAGCATTCACATGCAACATGCCGCGCGCGCTGTAAGTGAAGAGAACCGGCGTCTACGGTCCCTCCTTGCCCGGTACGGAGTCTCGGGTGATGAGATCGAACAACACCTACGCCACGACGGCGAGGACCGTGATGATCAACACGGCCAAGTCCAGAGCGCAGATCTGCACCGTAGCTCCTATAACGTCTCTAGCCGGCCTTCTCCGACGAACAAGGACCAGCAGCACGCATGGCGGCGTGCGTCTCCGCACGCCTCTCCAGAATCGCCGCGCTCGCCGGCACACACCGGTGCCGTGTCGCCCACATCGACACAGGACAGCCCAAGATCGGCAGCCATACGCAGCGACCGCAGCGTCGGTCTTCTCGGCCAGCACGAATGGGACGCAATGGACTTTGACAAGGGTCTGTCTTTCGGCTATGAAAATGACGGACCTGCGACCGAGTCTGGCTGCGAATCAGAGCTGCATCTGCAGACGGATGTGCATCTCCATACGGCAAATGTGTCTCGCACGGCAGCCTCGAGCATGGAGACGCCATGCGAGCTTGCAGCGGCCATCGTCGCCGATGTGCAGGGTCATGGCGACCAAACTCTAGTGTACCCTGCCTTGGGTTGCTCTGTAACAAACAGATGCTTGGTGAAGAATGTCAAGATCCTTGACTTAATCGACAAGAATATCTGAATTTTGGATTCCGAGAGGATGGTTCCGTTGCCGGCAATGGTGTGCGTCATTATGAGCAAGGTGCTGTATGTGACGATGCGATTGTGGTGACATAATTGTATCGTGAACTTGACAAAGTTATCTCAATTTTTCCAGTTCCACCTGTTTCCAACCCATCGAACCAAGTACACCAGGCCCAGCAGCACAGGCACCTCGATCAGTGGGCCCACCGTGGCCGCGAGTGCCTGGTCGCTGTCTGGGCCAAACGTCGCCACGGTGACCGCAATGGCCAGCTCGAAATTGTTGCTCGCGGCCGTGAAACTCTGCGTTGCCGCCAGGGCATAACCGAAGCCAAGGCGATACGTGGCCCACAAGGTCAGGGAAAAGACCAGACCAAAGTACACGACCAGCGGCGCGGCCACGCGCACCACGCTGACGATCTGGTGCACGACAGCGTGGCCCTGCGACGCGAACAGGACGAGGATCGTGTACAGCAGCCCGATCAGCGACCATGGCGAAGCAAACGGGAAAAAACGCCGTTCAAACCAGTCCGGGCCGGCGATTGTGCGGAGGGCAAAGCGTGTCACAATGGCTGCGCCCAGAGGGATGCCAAGGAAGACGGCGACGCTGACGGCCACGACCGAATAGGAGACACTCTGCACGCTGCTGTCGTGGCTGATGACTCGGAGCAAGAAAATCGTCATCGGAGCGAAGAGGACCATCTGCAGGATCGAGTTGATGGCGACAAGAATGGCGCAGTATTCGCTGTCGCCCCCTGCCAGGCCTGTCCAGATAAGCACCTTTGTGGCAAAGAAGACTATTTAGTAAAATACGAGATTGGCTTTGTCGAACGTCGATTCACGACGCAGGGAGATACTCACCATGGCGATGCACCTTCCGAGACCGACCAGTATCAAACCTGTACGCAAATCACTCTTATCGGGGAGGAAAGCCCATGCTAGAGCAAGCTTGAATCCAGACGAGAAATATTAGCCGTGGGTTCACTAGGTGTTTGAAGAGAAGGGGAAAAAAAAAGAAAAGAAAAGAAGGAAAGAAAACAAAAAGTGGGCAAAAGGCAGAAGGGTTTCGACAAGCATACCATTAAAAAAGGTGCCACGATCCAGTTTACAAAGACACTGAAAGCAATCTGCTTGCACACGCCCCGCTGCGAAAAGATGTCGTGCAAGGACTCATAGCGAACTTTGCAGAGGATGGGGTACATCATAATAAGGAGACCGATTGCTATTACATTGTATTCCATTAGTTCTAAGCATACACAAAGAGAGCATCAAGAAGACGCATGAAATCGGACAGAATTGATGCATAGGAAACGGGATCGAGACGCACCTATTGGAATCGACACTCCCACGAATTTGCCCTTTTGCAGAGCCGGCCCCGTCTGAGGGACGAAGTTGCCCAAGAGCATGCCGAGAATCATGGCGAGCAGGATCCAGACGGCTAGAAATCGGTCGAGCCATCCGAGAGACTGGAAGGCCGAAACCTTTTCCGAGCCGGCCTTCTTCTCTCTCGGGCGATGCTGGCTCTCGGGGTCGTGTTGGGCGACCACATCACTGTCGACGTGGAGACTGGACGCTGGTGTAACCGGTGCTGCCGCCATCTGTTGTACAGATTTGATTGTATCACAACCTGCACGGAGACATTGGACGAATGCATTTCTAGGACTTGAGAAAGTCGACCGTACGAGAACGACCTTCCTTTTATGATACAAATAGCCAGTTTGGCGGGCCTCCTTGGAAGGGCCTAGAAACGAAAAGAGTCACTGGGCGGAAAAACAGGAGGCAAACAAACTTCGTGGCAAGCAAAACCCAAGACACAGACATTGCACAAGTCGAGGTGGTAGTGTTAATGGGTTAGCGTTTTCTGTAGCCAATGAAGAGTAAGGAGTGACCAGCAGCGGCTGTTGGTGACAAAAGTAGAGGCACCCTATCCATAGGACACAGTATTTACTTGTAGAATTTATGTGCCGTTTTCACGGGCATTGCACAACAGCAGTAACTGGACCTGGGCATCTACTTTGCTGCCGACTGCCATGACCAACAGCCCACCTCATGCTTTTCGTCCATGAAGGAGAACCCATTTAGATATCTGTTAGTCAGCGCAGGTGCCTGCACGGGACAATGGCATCAGCCACACAGCCAAGTTTAGCATGGTACGTTGCGTACCCGCCACCGAAGACAGTGGTCCGGTCCATTTCTCGCGAAGAGGTCCTGAGCCTGTTCAATAACCCTAAATAAAGAGTGGCCTGGATTTTGTCCTTGTTGATCTGCGGCAGAACGACCACGAGGTGCGTTGATGTCGGATTTTGTACATTGTGAGCGATGCGGACGAATCAGATGCAAGGCGGAACGATTCGTGGCTCCATCAACCTTCCGGCCCGGAGCTTGTGGCCTACCATATCAACCTTGTACGAGTTGTTCAAGGAAATCATACGAGGGCCGAATACACTACGACGTTTGTTTTAGGCGTGGAGGACACGAAGTTCGAATTCATGTTGAATCACGTGACTATCACTAGCGATGGCGTCCGGACTTGATCGGCGCTAAGCCACTTACACGCGAATCGAAGGCATATTGGTTTTTTTATGTCGTGATGTTTTTTGAAACGCTCCTTATAATCGCACTCAACACCCTCTTCTCTCACGTACGGCCACAGATACTGGGGAATACGGGATCCCGTCTGCTCTCCCCTCGTCAAACCAGTAATCGGCGGATTAGTAGTTGGGTCGGTGACGACCAGCGAATACCCGCTGCTGTACGTTTTTTTTTTCGTTTTATTTGTGCTTTCTATACACTGGCATATTTGCGTCGTGGGATGTTGTGTCCTTTCGTGAAAGCCATTCCGAGTTGAAGAACCGAGCGGTGATCGTCTGTATCCTCCTGCATCCTCCTGGACCCTCCTGCACGCTCTTAAAACGCCGTCTTCGGCTCGACCTTGGTCACGGCGCCCGTCTTGATGTCAAAGACAAAGCCCTGCGTTCCCTTTTTGAGCTCGTCGCGAATGAACGGCGTCGTGCGCACCCACTCGAGGTCGCCCTTGACGCTTTCCTCAATGCTGGGGGAGAATTAGTAATGCCTTCCTGTTGATAGCAATGACGTGGGAGGGTATCACCCACTCTGTGACGGCCCAAATGTCCAGCTTGTCCACCTCGGGCCAGCTGGCTGGGTCGGCCGTCTTCTTCACGTGCGCCCGCACCTGGTCGTCCGTGGTGTGCGTCGTGCCGCAGTCCGTGTGGTGCACGATGCAAATCTCGTCGAGGCCAAACAACGAGTCGAGCGTGACAATGTCACGCAGGGCCGTGCGGACGTTGCCGCCGGCATTGCGGTGCACGAGGGCCTCGCCTGCATGCAGGTTGAAGAACGCCTCGGGGATGCAGCGGGGGTCGAGGCAGCTCACGATAATAGTTCGGGGGCCGGGCGAGCCGGCCGCCTTGAGGTCTTCAATGAACGGCAGTGGCTTGTGCTCGACGGCCCTGGAGGGGGAAGGGAGGGGATGGTTAGCACGACGGTAAAGTGGGAGGGGAATGGCCCAAGCCAGGCAGGACTCGTCTCATGCTAGGACGTACTTGTTTCTGTCGAGAAAGTCTGCGATATGAGGCATAGTCGCGGTGGCGGTGGTGATAGTGGAGAAAGGTAAATGGTGGGAGGTGAAAATATGAGGTTCTATGGTTCAAACTGTCAAGGAGACTGAAATTGCATGAAGATGAGAAGAGGTATTGAAGTGAAGATGTTACTGACTGACACGACAGGACTCTTTTATACGTGGAACTGTCGTCTCCTTTCGTACGCTTTTTGTTCGCAGGCGGCAGCCATCTCGGAGCAACTTGTCTTTTTTACAAACGCATATACAGTCAACAATTCGACAACATTCTTCAGCTTCAGGCTGTTTGCCTCGCCGAAATCATGAAGTTGACGCTGCCTCGCAACGGCTCGATTAGTTATTCGACATAGTCTACCTGCTATGACAGCTGGTATATTACGTACTTGGAGCAGTCTGTCTTTGTCCGAGACCAATGCCCCAATCGGGACATAGCTTCAATGCAGCCGCGGCAGTTGGACGTCTGCCACGCTATTCCCTTTTCAGGCAATGGTACCCCGGCCTTTGGTCGCCGGCTTCTGGTGTTTGCTTTTGTCAGATGAACACGCGCTACCCTTCGGTGACTAATACCCTTTGACGGCAACCGATGCAACACACGCAGATAATGCCACCTTCGAGTCCTATACGGCATGCTTTGTCAAGCCTCTGCCTCGTACACGACGCCGCTTTTTAGACGGGCGCCGGGATAACTAGGTAGCTTGCTGACTTGCAGAATGCGACCCTGAAAGCGAAGCTGTCCACTTCGCAGTTCCGCCTCTTGCACTTGACCTGAACCATCTCCGCATCCAGACGCCCCGACGGAGGCCGGCGTTATATATCGAGTAGATCGCCGTCCACCTGCCCAGAAGGGCTGCTGGTCAACGTCCTTTCTTACCAAAAGGGGTTGCTGGTAGGACCGCCTGCAACCACCGATTACCTCATCCTTGTGGTACTTGCTTTGATCGTTTCTTTTCTTTTTTCTTGTTTTTGTCCGTCGGTCCGCGCAAGATGGCCTTTCAGTTTGTCAACTACGAGGGCCCCTCGCTCCCCGAAGACAAGGGCGTGCGTACGATGATCCGCCGCCAGGCCATGCACGACGTGGCCATCGACCGACGCACGCGCGGTAACTATGGCAAGGCGAACCAGCGGCAGGTGCCCTTTTTTGTTGACGAGGGACGGGCGTCTCCGTCGGGGAAACAAGACATTGAGGAAATCACACCCACACACAAGCCCAAGCCAACACCAAATGCCACTGCAACGGCCAAGCGGCCTCCACGACCGCGACCATTTGCGCAGTGTGGACAGTCAGGACAGCCAGGACAACGTAGTATGACCTTTCCGACGTTTTGTTACTCCGCCGACTCGTCCACGTCCACAACATCCTATGGCCTCCCCACGTCCATCTCGTTCCCCGACAGTGCCGCGACCGAAAAGTTTACGCTCCTCTTGAATCTCGTGCCGCTCACCGGCCTGCGCCTCGGCATTGGCAAGTTGTCGTCCTTCCAGCTCGATCTGGCCCGCGCCGGACCGACTCGCCGTGCGCAGTTGTCGCCCGCCTGCCCCCCCCTCAACCTCGGCAACCCCAAACTCGCCCACTACATTACCAGCCACCACGGCCACGTCCCCGCCCTGCGCTATGCCACCGACGCCGTGCTGGCCCAGCTGCGGCTAGTCGCGCTACGGGCCCATGGCACGCCGAGCACGGCGCTGGCCCGGGATGCCACGCTGGTCTTCTACCAAAAGGCACTGCGGGCCGTGCAGCTCGCGCTGGCGGACGAGCGGCAGCGTCTGACAGAGGAGACCCTGTGCGCGACGCAGTTGTTGGCTGTTTTCGAGGTACGTCCCACATGCTGCTGTGTCTGCCTTCACATCTCTCTTGTTTTTCGAGAGTAACCACTGACATCGCCGCTACGTGGTAACTGCAGCTCCTCGACGAAAACGTCCCGTCCTGGATGCACCATGCCGGTGGCGCTGCCCAGCTCATCCGTCTCCGCGGCGTCCACCGCTTTCGTGCCTCCGAGCCCGGCACCGCGCTGTTCATGGCGCACATAGGCACGGTTGTCATGGACGCCTTCTTGGGCAACAAGGCCTGCTTTCTCGCCGAGGACGCCTGGATGGCCTTGCTGCGATCCGCCATCCTCGACGACCCGGCCCTGGCGCCCGTCCAGGACCTGTCGCTGGCCATGTGGAGCCACATTGTCACAGGGCCGGCCAAGTTCAAAACGGTCACCGACTTGGTCATGGCGGCGCCCGCACCACGCGCGCCCGACCCGCGCGCGCGGGACGCCATCATTGCCCACCTCCTTGCGGACCGCGCCAGCCTCGTCGGGTGGATGGACCGCGCCATGCGCCATCCGGCCATATGCGAGGACGATTTCGAGGCCGACGACGTCTACGGCATCGTGTTTCCGCGATTGACGACGGGGACAAGGGGCAGCACAGGAGGGCGAAGAAACGCAGATGACAAGGATGCGCACTGCCGCCTGGACCGCGTCACGCAGCTTTCGCTCTGGGGCACCAACATCGTGTGCCGCATCCTCAAGTCGCGCCTGCTGGTCGCCATGGCCCCCGCGCGCTTCCGGGCCCTCGAGGCTGAGTGCCAGTACCTGGCCGCCCGTGTGATGCAGCTCGACGCAGGGGCTGCGGCCGCCGCCGCCAACAAGAGCACCGGCGTGGGCTCGGGCCTCGGGGATGTGCTCAAAACATCGTTTGTCTCGCAAAACACGTGGATCGTCCGCGGCGTCCTGGAGACCAAGGACATTTGGAGTCAAGACAGTGACGTCAGTGGTGATGGCAATGGTGATTGCGCCGAGGACAAAATGATTGAAAAGTGGAAGTTTGAAGCCTGGTGTCGGGCCATCGGCCGCACGTTGCCCCGTACGCCAATAGATACGATTGCATCCCTTTCATGCTAGCAATGACATCGGTGGCGATGCTCGCAATGTCGGTGGAGACAGCCCAGAGCATCCCAAAAGCTTAACACCGTTAAGTGCGCCACGGCAAGGTCGAGCGGCGTTTGGCGTTGCCGGTGGAGACCAAGAGGCGCTTTCAACTCGGTAGTCAAAAATAAAACCGATGGAAAACGTATATGGCCCACCGCTTCAGTGCCATGAAATTCCACGAGAGTTCGAACGAGAAGGAAAGATGGGGCAGGCGAGGCTAAGAAGCAGAAAAGGATGAAAACTGGAGAACAGGATCGCGAAACAGATGCACTCCGCAAAATGATCTAGGTCTTGACTCACTTGCCGGATCCCAAACCGTCCCCTGCAAATCTCTCGGCCGACTGGTTGTTTTGGACGGTTCAATCATTGGGTCCCGTCATGACATCTGTGTGTCTGGCAAGAAAAGGTACGGAGATTTTGATGGGCCACAAGGTCGGTTTATGCGCCGCTTGCACCTTCTTTATCGGGCCGACCACAACTCGAGGGAGTCGCGCCGTTCCGTTGTTGACAGCGACAGCCAATGAAGACGGCGCGACGTACACAATGAGCAAGAAGCAGAAACTACGACCATATCTGTCAAGTGATGTTCGTCCCAAACAACAAAGTGCGTCGTAAAGCCTTATGTCATACGGCGCCTGCGCCCATTTGAATCGGTACTTCCGCAGTGGATCTTAACAGCAGACCCCCACTTCACATCGAGTGACGTCGAGGGAACGGAAAAAAAAAAAAAAAAGAAGTGGTGACAAAAATTCGTTCAGCATATATACAGCCAGAAGAAATTCTCGCATCGTGCTAGGCTAGCTAAATCGCAGCTGTCGATATACTTCCAAGCTCGACGTGTCCTCTGGTCCCGGTCGTGACACACTCTCGCTGAAACTCTGAATCGGCGCTTGCCAAGCTGCGACTTAGCTCGCCCCGAGCAACAGCTGCCGCTGCCCCCACCTCTACTGCATTCCTCGTCGACACGTATAAGTGCAGTTCGTCTCCCAATCTTCGAAGCTCGAAAGACACGACACATCCAGCCAACACCGGACTGCAACAACGACAGGCCGACAATTCTCAACCCGTTCATCCCGTACGAGCTCTACAATCTGCTGCCTCGATTGAACTCTTCCTGTCTCGATTGAGCCCCTCCAAATTCCTCCATCCAGCTCCACGTACCACTGTCCCCAACCACCCCCGCCAACCATGTCCATTGGAATCGCCCTGCTTGGTGCGGGCATCTTTGCCCAAGCGCGTGAGTAGCGACACAGGCCGACTTACGCTCCCCGCTCCGTCTGCCGTTCCAGCTAACATCTCCATTTCCCAACTCCCAGAGCACCTCCCTGCCATCAAGGCCTCCGACCTCCTTGCCCTCAAGGCCGTCTACTCCCGTTCCCAGGCCTCCGCCGAGGCCTTTGCTAGCAAGGCCGGTGTGCCCGGCCTCGACGTCTACTGGGACGAGCCCGCCGCTGCCGGTCGCGGCCTGGCCGACCTGCTGGCCCGCAGCGACGTCGCCGCCGTGTCGGTGTGCATGCCCATCAACCTGCAGCCGCAGGCCATCCGTGCGGCGCTGGCCGCCGGCAAGCACGTCATCAGCGAGAAGCCCGTGGCCGACACGGTGGCCCATGCCCAGGCGCTGATTGCCGACTACGATGCGCTCCCCCGCAAGCCCATCTGGGCCGTCGCCGAAAACTACCGCTACATGCAGTCCCTCCAGCTGGCCGAGGCCAAGCTGCGCGCGCTGGGTGGCGACCTCGTGTCCTTTAGCCTCGTGTCCAACAAGTTTGTGCGCCCCGACGGCAACTACTTCAACACGGCCTGGCGCAAGAACCCGACACACCCCGGCGGGTTCCTGCTGGACGGCGGCGTCCACTATGTGGCCGCGCTGCGGTCGCTGCTGCGCGCCGCCCCGGGCGGTAACACCACCAACAACAACAAAATCACCAAGGTGGCCGGCACCATGGCCCAGCTGCTCGAGATCCTGCCGCCCGCCGACACCCTGCGCGCCATTGCCTTTACCCGGGGCGGCGCCAGCGGCGTCGTGACTATGTCCTTTGGCACCGAGTTCGGCCCGCCGCTCGACATTGCCGTCACCACCACCGAGGGCATGGTGACGTGGCGCATGAAGAGTGTGACCGTCACCACGCGCAACGCCGCCGACCCGTTCAAGCCGCACGAGACCGTGCTGGACTGCAGCGAGACGAACCCGTCGTTCCCCGCCGACGAGGCCACCGGCGTCAAGGCCGAGTTTGCGGCGTTTGCGGCGACCATTGCCGCCGGGCAGAACACGGTCGACGCGCGGCAGTCGCCGGCCGAGGCGCTGGAGGATTTGCGGCTGCTGGAGGCCATGTTCGAGACGGGCGCCGCGGGCGGCGAGCCCAAGACGATTGCATAGGCAGAGGGGGCGCGCACCGTGAATTAAAAAAGAGCAACTGCCTGGGTATTTCAAGTCCTGTTGGGTATACGAATTATTTTAGAAAAACACTGAATAGACATACCGTTCAACACTAGGATCGGCATATGACCCAATACATCACATACATTGCGATATGCTGCCAGGCACAAATGTGCCGAATTCCGACCAACGCTTCTACTGACGACGACGTAAAGATACCCTACTCGGTCATTCATTAACGAGCAAGCTTCACCAACATCTGCCGTCATCAAGGTGCTGTCCCGTGTCTGCCGTCACGCAGGTCGCACCTTCCCAGCACGCCATGACCCCTCACATGGCACACTTTCCTATCGCGCCCGCTCAGGGTTCTTGCGTACCTGCTTCCTTCCTGTTAGTGGTTGGGTGGGGTTCCTTCCCGGCCATTAGCGGGCGTAGCGCATTGGCTCCTGCACCCATGTCGCCCAAGCTCCCACCAACTTCCCTATCTTCGAACGCACCTGCCCAAAACAACCGCCGCTAACGTCTGGAGCTTGCGTGGGTCATCAACATCAACCTGCTTATCCACTGCCTCCCCCCGGCGGTCGCTCCTTCCCGGCCTACCCTTCTCCGATCTCCCGCCCTTCATAATCTTTAGTCTGCCGCTCTCCTCCCCTCTTTCTCCTTTTCCTTCTTCTCTCCTTCATTCGTATCTCAATTTGGTCCGCTGAGTATCAATACTCCGTGCGTCGTACTTTGTCCATCGTATTGTACATCGTACACGACGGCCAACATGGACACCAAAGACGACGGGTTTCTCCCGCCCTACACGGCTGTCGACCAACCCGGACTGCCGCGCTGGGACTTGGGCGGCAAAGGCAGCAACTACAACATCAATAACAACAACCAGTTTCATGGCTACCGCCGGACAATGCGACGCCGGGCGCGTCGTATCCGTGCGGCTGTCGTCTTGGCTATCGTCGTCCTGGTTGGCTACACGCATTGGCGCCACACCAGCCGTGCGCCGCCACTGGCTACGGGCGCGAACGGCTCGCTGCTGTCCATTGCCAAGCTCGAGGCCGACCTGGCCACGTGCGCCACCCTCAAGAGCCAGCCCCAGAGCGCACAAGGTGCCGGCCGCGAACGCAATGCGCGCTATGTCGACGGCAAGCCCGCGACGCTGATCCGCAACGCCACCGTGTGGACCGGCGAGCCCGACCCGGCGCTGCTGCTGTCGCTGTCCGACGAGGACATCCGTGCCGGCAAGGGCTTTGGCTGGGCCACGGCCGACGTCTACATTGAGAACGGCCTGATCCAGCGCGTCGAGGCGTCCATTGACGTGGCGTCGCTGCGCCCGGCCGCGGGATCCAAACTGGTCACGTGGGACGCCCACGGCCGCCAGCTGACGGCCGGCATCATCGACATGCACTCCCACGCCGGCGTCGGCTCGCTGCCCTCGCTGCGCGGCAACGAGGACTCCAACGAGATGTCCTCGGACATTACGCCGTACGTCCGGTCCAAGGACGGCATCCAGCCGCTCGACCACCAGATCCAGGTCATCAAGTCGGGCGGCGTCACGACGTCGCTGGTGCTGCCCGGGTCGGCCAACAACATTGGCGGCGAGGCGTTTGTGATCAAGCACGCCGTCGGCCGCCACGACGGCCGCGCCGAGCTGAGCATCGCGTCGCTGCTGGCGGCCCCTGACACCCCCGCGCTACGGTACATCAAGATGGCCTGCGGCGAGAACGCCAAGCGCGTGTACGGCAAGGTGGGCGAGCACGGCCCCACGAGCCGGCTGGGCGAGGCGTGGGAATTCCGGCACGCCTTTGAGCAGGCCGCGGCCTACGTGCAGGCCCAAGACGACTGGTGCGCGACGGCCGAGTCGGCCGTGGCCGCCGCCAAGACCAAGACGGGCGCCGGCGCTGGCACCCACTGGGCCCACACGCTGACATCGTACCTCCCCCGCGCGATCGAGTGGGAGACGCTGGCGGGCGTGCTGCGCGGCCAGGTCTACGTCAACACCCACTGCTACACCGTCCCCGACCTCGAGTCCTTTGTCGGCTACACCAACGAGTTCCGCTTCAACGTCCGCGCCTTTCACCACGCCCACCAGACCTTCCTCGTCCCCGAAGTCCTGAAGCGCACCTGGGGCGCCGACAAATACGGCCCGCCCGCCTCGGCCATCTTCGCCGACAACATGTACTACAAGGCCGAGTCGCAGGTAGCCACCGAGTACGCCGGCAAGATCCTGTGGGACCACGGCCTGACGCCCGTCTACGTCAGCGACAACCCGGTCCTCAATGCGCAGCACGTCCTGTTCGAGGCCGCCAAGGGCTACCGCTACGGCCTGCCGTACCACGCCGCCCTGGCGTCCGTGACCACGGCGCCGGCCGAGCGGCTGGGTCTCGGCGACCGCATCGGCAAGATCAAGCCCGGCTTCGATGCCGACATTGCCGTCTGGGACAGCGACCCGCTCAGCGTCGGTGCCGCGCCCGTGCAGGTGTGGATCGACGGCAACGCGCAGTTTGACGACCCTGTGGAGCTCGGCAAGCCCGCGAGCTCACCGATTGTGCCCGACACGAGGCTCGCCCGCATCCCAGACGAGCCCGTCGACGTCGCG